TAGGACACACCCTGGAGGCTGCCCCTGGCAAGAGCACACAGGGACTGCCCCCCCCCCCAGGCCCTGCTGCAGCTGGGGGGCGGCGCTTAGGACACACCCTGGAGGCTGCCCCTGGCAAGAGCACACAGGGACTGCCCCCCCCCCCAGGCCCTGCTGCAGCTGGGGGGCGGCGCTTAGGACACACCCTGGAGGCTGCCCCTGGCAAGAGCACACAGGGACTGCCCCCCCCCCAGGCCCTGCTGCAGCTGGGGGGCGGCGCTTAGGACACACCCTGGAGGCTGCCCCTGGCAAGAGCACACAGGGACTGCCCCCCCCCCCAGGCCCTGCTGCAGCTGGGGGGCGGCGCTTAGGACACACCCTGGAGGCTGCCCCTGGCAAGAGCACACAGGGACTGCCCCCCCCCCCAGGCCCTGCTGCAGCTGGGGGGCGGCGCTTAGGACACACCCTGGAGGCTGCCCCTGGCAAGAGCACACAGGGACTGCCCCCCCCCCAGGCCCTGCTGCAGCTGGGGGGCGGCGCTTAGGACACACCCTGGAGGCTGCCCCTGGCAAGAGCACACAGGGACTGCCCCCCCCCCCAGGCCCTGCTGCAGCTGGGGGGCGGCGCTTAGGACACACCCTGGAGGCTGCCCCTGGCAAGAGCACACAGGGACTGCCCCCCCCCCCAGGCCCTGCTGCAGCTGGGGGGCGGCGCTTAGGACACACCCTGGAGGCTGCCCCTGGCAAGAGCACACAGGGACTGCCCCCCCCCCAGGCCCTGCTGCAGCTGGGGGGCGGCGCTTAGGACACACCCTGGAGGCTGCCCCTGGCAAGAGCACACAGGGACTGCCCCCCCCCCCAGGCCCTGCTGCAGCTGGGGGGCGGCGCTTAGGACACACCCTGGAGGCTGCCCCTGGCAAGAGCACACAGGGACTGCCCCCCCCCCCAGGCCCTGCTGCAGCTGGGGGGCGGCGCTTAGGACACACCCTGGAGGCTGCCCCTGGCAAGAGCACACAGGGACTGCCCCCCCCCCAGGCCCTGCTGCAGCTGGGGGGCGGCGCTTAGGACACACCCTGGAGGCTGCCCCTGGCAAGAGCACACAGGGACTGCCCCCCCCCCCAGGCCCTGCTGCAGCTGGGGGGCGGCGCTTAGGACACACCCTGGAGGCTGCCCCTGGCAAGAGCACACAGGGACTGCCCCCCCCCCCAGGCCCTGCTGCAGCTGGGGGGCGGCGCTTAGGACACACCCTGGAGGCTGCCCCTGGCAAGAGCACACAGGGACTGCCCCCCCCCCAGGCCCTGCTGCAGCTGGGGGGCGGCGCTTAGGACACACCCTGGAGGCTGCCCCTGGCAAGAGCACACAGGGACTGCCCCCCCCCCCAGGCCCTGCTGCAGCTGGGGGGCGGCGCTTAGGACACACCCTGGAGGCTGCCCCTGGCAAGAGCACACAGGGACTGCCCCCCCCCCCAGGCCCTGCTGCAGCTGGGGGGCGGCGCTTAGGACACACCCTGGAGGCTGCCCCTGGCAAGAGCACACAGGGACTGCCCCCCCCCCAGGCCCTGCTGCAGCTGGGGGGCGGCGCTTAGGACACACCCTGGAGGCTGCCCCTGGCAAGAGCACACAGGGACTGCCCCCCCCCCCAGGCCCTGCTGCAGCTGGGGGGCGGCGCTTAGGACACACCCTGGAGGCTGCCCCTGGCAAGAGCACACAGGGACTGCCCCCCCCCCCAGGCCCTGCTGCAGCTGGGGGGCGGCGCTTAGGACACACCCTGGAGGCTGCCCCTGGCAAGAGCACACAGGGACTGCCCCCCCCCCAGGCCCTGCTGCAGCTGGGGGGCGGCGCTTAGGACACACCCTGGAGGCTGCCCCTGGCAAGAGCACACAGGGACTGCCCCCCCCCCCAGGCCCTGCTGCAGCTGGGGGGCGGCGCTTAGGACACACCCTGGAGGCTGCCCCTGGCAAGAGCACACAGGGACTGCCCCCCCCCCCAGGCCCTGCTGCAGCTGGGGGGCGGCGCTTAGGACACACCCTGGAGGCTGCCCCTGGCAAGAGCACACAGGGACTGCCCCCCCCCCAGGCCCTGCTGCAGCTGGGGGGCGGCGCTTAGGACACACCCTGGAGGCTGCCCCTGGCAAGAGCACACAGGGACTGCCCCCCCCCCCAGGCCCTGCTGCAGCTGGGGGGCGGCGCTTAGGACACACCCTGGAGGCTGCCCCTGGCAAGAGCACACAGGGACTGCCCCCCCCCCCAGGCCCTGCTGCAGCTGGGGGGCGGCGCTTAGGACACACCCTGGAGGCTGCCCCTGGCAAGAGCACACAGGGACTGCCCCCCCCCCAGGCCCTGCTGCAGCTGGGGGGCGGCGCTTAGGACACACCCTGGAGGCTGCCCCTGGCAAGAGCACACAGGGACTGCCCCCCCCCCCAGGCCCTGCTGCAGCTGGGGGGCGGCGCTTAGGACACACCCTGGAGGCTGCCCCTGGCAAGAGCACACAGGGACTGCCCCCCCCCCCAGGCCCTGCTGCAGCTGGGGGGCGGCGCTTAGGACACACCCTGGAGGCTGCCCCTGGCAAGAGCACACAGGGACTGCCCCCCCCCCAGGCCCTGCTGCAGCTGGGGGGCGGCGCTTAGGACACACCCTGGAGGCTGCCCCTGGCAAGAGCACACAGGGACTGCCCCCCCCCCCAGGCCCTGCTGCAGCTGGGGGGCGGCGCTTAGGACACACCCTGGAGGCTGCCCCTGGCAAGAGCACACAGGGACTGCCCCCCCCCCCAGGCCCTGCTGCAGCTGGGGGGCGGCGCTTAGGACACACCCTGGAGGCTGCCCCTGGCAAGAGCACACAGGGACTGCCCCCCCCCCAGGCCCTGCTGCAGCTGGGGGGCGGCGCTTAGGACACACCTTGGAGGCTGCCCCTGGCAAGAGCACACAGGGACTGCCCCCCCCCCCACCCCCGCCGCCGGCTGGGGGGCGCTCC